CCCCCTCCTCTTCCCCTTCCCTCCCCTCCTCTCCCCTACAGCTGTCTCCTTTGTCTTTTCCCTGTGGTGCCACCTTCCTGAGCTGTGCTATACTGAGAGACCCCAGGGGGGGGGCCCAAATTATAGAACAGCTGTTGAGATCAAAGTAGCCTTGATAAGTATAAAATCAACATCAGGGCTGGGGACTTAGCTCAGTGGTTCTGCTGCCTGCCTCTCAAACACAAGGACCTGAGTTCAATCCCTGGTACCAAATATATATATATATAAAATCAACATCAAATGTGATTGCATTTCTGTAAATAAAGCTGCAGGGCCCCCTTATCCTCAGAGGCTGTGTGTGAAGTCCACACTGGAAACTTCAGGTGGTACCATGTCCTGTCTCTTGCACTGTTTTTCCTGCCCATACCCATGGTGACATTTAACTTATGAATTAGTCACAATACATGATTAACAACGCTCATAATAAAGTAGAACAATTATAATACACTGTGAAAGTTGTTTAAAACATGAATTCTTGAGTATAGTGATGCTGCCTGTCATTCCAACTTCTGGGAGGCTGAGGCAGGATTGCAAGGTTGAACCCAGCCTTAGCAAGACCTTGTTTTAAAATTTAAAAAATAAAAATGAGCAAGGGATGCAGCTCACTGAGAAGGCCCCGGTTCAATCCCTACTAGTACCCAAAGACTTAGGAATTATTTATCTCTAGACTTTCTCACTTAATATTTCTGTTTTTCAAAGCCCACCTGGGCCAATGGGAAGGAGGAACACACTGGCCAATCAGCCAGCGCCACAGGCGTTTTCTGCTCACTTCAGCGCCACCCATCAAGGACCAACCAGGCGGACCTGTGCGGTGAGTCGTTGGCCTGCTCTGCCCCTTACGCCTGTCTTTTTGCTGTTTTGGTCTTCATCTCTCCCCTTTGTTTGGCCTCCTTTCTTGACCAACCTGAAAGGCTCCATGTTGCCCTGAGCCCTGGCCCCGTGCGGTGCTGGTGCTTAACTTTATTTGGGGGAAACTCTACCAAATGCCTGCCTTTCCCAAAGCCTGATCCACAGCAGGCTTCTCCCCGCGGCCGGCTCTGTCCTGCTGGGAAGTGAGCCAGAGCAGGACCCTAGGGCTTTGATCCGTTGCTTGAGGCCTAGGGGAAGGATGGAGCCAGGTCTCGAACCAGGGAGAAGACAGCACAGGGAAGGAATCACCGGGCTGGAGGGGCTCAGGGGTGGGGGCTTCCCTCAATGCCAACACCTGTGGAGCAGGCCGGGCCAAGCCCAGGGAGGCAGGTGTGGGAGGATGCGCCCAGGGAGACCTCTGGGGCTGGAATTCGGGGAGTAACACACCCCAGAGCCCCTGCTGTGAAATGGATGTGTGCAGATGGGATATCTTGCTGTGTTAATTCGCCTTGATATTTATTGATACAGACTCAGTGACATCCCTAACCCTGTTAAAGTTCAAGGTGGGAAAAAAAGTTGCAGTTGATTCACTTCACTAAAATGAGATCTTCCTGGGCTGGGCGGGTCCCCAATCCAAGGAGCTGTACCCTTACGTGTGGCTCAGGAGAATTCTGCGTGGCTATGAACTCAGGTGGGGATCTTGAAACTGGGAGCCCAGTGTTCTTTTGGGTATCAGGGATTGAACTCAGATCCTTGCACTTTCAAGACAGGCTCCGGAACCACTGAGCTAAATCCCCAGCCCACTAAGTGTTCTTTTGGTAACCACAACTTTTCAAAATCAGGGAGAGTTGGGCGTGGTGTGCACGCCTATAATCCCAGCACTCAGGAGGCTGAGGCAGGAGGATTGCTGCAAGTTCGAGACCAGCCTGGGCTACAGAGTGAGTTCCAGGGCAGTCTGAACTATATAGTGAGACCCCGTCTCAAAAAAAAAAAAAAAAAAAAAAAAATCAGGGAAATACCGGTGATGTGATAACTGTATGTAACACAAAGACCTTGTGATTAGGGTTCATCACTACCTATATAATTTTTGCATTTGTTTTCACAGGAGTATTGGAACACTTGAATTCTCACACTAATTTGTCATGTTCCTATATCCAACCTGCATCTCAGAGGTTAGGTGTACTGAGTTTGTGATTTGGGTCAGGAGGAGAAAATACTCGGGGGAAATGAGTTTTAGTTTCAATTCTGGTCATTTGCTGATGCAGATCTTGGAGTCTGAAGTCTTTGGGGGTGGGTGAGAATTGTTTTCACCTGTAGAAATTAGTTTTAAAAGCTTCACAAAAGGGCTGGGGATTTGGCTCAGTGGTTCCATCACCTGCCTCGCAAGTGCTAAGGGCCCGAGTTTGATCCCCGGTGCCAAAAAAAAAAACAAACCAAAAAAACAAAAAGGCTTTACAAAAAAGAGATGGGAAGTAGAAGTTGTCATTTTTTTTTTTTTTTTTTTTTTTTTTGGTATGTGGGGATCGAACTCGGGTTCTTGTGCTTGCAAGGCAGGCGGTGGAACCACTGAGCTAAATCCCCAGCAAAGTTGTCATTTTCTAGGAATTTGCACATATTTGAATGAAATCATCAGCCTGACTTGAAAAGCGCGCCCTCGCCGTGTTTGAAGCCTTGGGTGGGTGCATGGTGCCAACATCTCCGCTTTCATGCCAGATGTTTGTGTTCTGTCTTCTTCCAACCTCTTGGGGCATCTCCAATATGCTTTGGCTTTTCAAAGAAACTACGGAATGTAACCCTGGTATGTGTCATTGGTTTTTATTTTCCCCTGTTTTCTTTTGGTGTGTTTCTTCTTTAACTTCAGATGCATACTTTGCTAGTAAAATTTCCAGCTTCCTCTCGAAGACCTTGGACAGAGCTCACTGGGTACCCTGGGAGGCTGCACCCCACCCACTTTCATGCATGGTAACAGGAAATGTCCCTCAGTTCAGGTTTTACTTATAATACTTTTATTTTGTTATATTTTTCTTTGTCAGTATACCTGGAAGCATATGTCTCGGGTGGCATCTTCAGGACGTTTCGCTGTTGATTTCTGACATAAACTGTGATCAGAATATTCTGTGGCCTGAAACCTGTTGAAATGTGCTCTAAGGACGAGCTTTAATGGAGCAGCCTGTATTTTTTTTTTTTTTTTTTTTTTTTTTTTTTTTTTTGGCGGGGGTGCCGGGATCAAACTCAGGTCCCTGTGCTTGCGAGGCAAGCAGCAGAACCACTGAGCTAAATCCCCCGGCCCTTGGTCTGTATTCACTTTAAAACTATTCTATTCCAACTTTTTCTCATTTTAATTTGCTTACCTCATTCCTGGAACAGATTGATAAAGTGTCCTGTAGTCTTAGTTCCTCCCTGTATTCCTGACAATTTGTATGTTTTCAGGCCATATTCTAATTGCTTGTATAATGACAGTGTTCTCTCTTCCTGATGATTTGAAAATCCTGTGACTTTACAATATCTGTATTTATCCCTCGGGCTTGGTGTGGCGTCCCCGGTAACTGATATTGGTACACCAGGCATTTTCAATCACAACTTGCATGTTTTTCATAGATTTCACTTTCTGTGGTTTTGTTCTTAGATGTGCATTTGGTTTTTGCTTTCATTTAATCTGATGATCTCTGTCTCTCTGGACCACGGAGGCCATTGTTCGTGTGGTTACTAACTAGCATCTGAATCTGCCATCTCTTTGTGTTTTCTTTTTATCTGTCCTGTGCTCTTTCTGTCCTTTCTTGCTATTAGTTTTATGTGTGCTTTTTCTTCTATGTACAGTGCTTTGGCAGATAAGCCCTTGTGGTTATGAGAATTCCAGTCAGTTCTTGGGCTTATCAGGAAGTAACGTGGCATTTTTTTCTTTGCTCATCTTCCCAGATGGGACCACTAGAGCACGTGGCGCCCTTCACGCAACACAGTGACAAAGTTTACTTCGGTTTTGTGTCTCACACAGAGCGGGAGGCACCCTGCGTTAATTCACGGTGGCTCCTTTCCTTCTCCCACTGCCACTATTTAGAATGCATTATTGTGTAAATCTGCTGTTGGAAATATACCTTCAGGAGTCTAATTTTCCTTCTTAAATGGAGGTTTTATTCTGGGTGGACCTAAGCCACACTCAGCGCCAGCACCTCTGAGCTGCTCCTTTCTGTAGGTCTGAGATGGTCGCTGCTGATCTGACTGCCCTGCTTCAGGGGGACAGGGCTGCTTTCCTCCTGCGCTGCCACCACCCGGGGCTGCTTTCCAGATATCTCCCTTTGTTATTTAGTTCTTGGCTTCCTCACAGTGTGTCTAGGTGTGGGTTTGTAATTTACCCTCCGGGACCTCTTGGGTTCTGTCTGTAGACTGATTTATTCTGTCTGTTAATGGAAAGGCCCCAGCCATGGTCTTTTCAAATACACATGCTCCTTAATTAACCATGAGCTTACAGCTTGACACACCCGCTATGTTGGTAGTGTCACTGGAAATTGGAAATGCAGTTGGTACCCGGTGCTGGAGAACCTCATGGCTTAGCTCGGTATGGCAGCAGGCTTTCCTGTTGGGGAGCACAGTCCCTGACACCCATAGCTTAGAGCAGGAGCGGTTTAAAGTGGCGCATGGCCTCGGAGGATTCAGTCCACGGTCAGCTGTCTCCAAGGCAGCAGCAACACGGCAGAGGGCTTGCTGGAGTCATGCCCTGTAGCTTATGCGGCTGCAGCCAGAGTACAGGAGCCGTGCTAGAGAGGAAGGAGCCAGGCATCAGGCACGGACCTCAGGCCTGGCCGTGACCCATCCAGACTCACCCAGACGTGTGCTATCATTGCCTTTTCTCCTCTGTAATAAGATTGCTTTTCATGGCCCAGGACAGGGCCAGTTACTGTGAATCTTTTGTGTGTGCTTGGAAAGAACGGTCTCGCAGTGTCCCGGCTCTACAAATATCCCCAGGGCAGGGTGCGTGTGCGTGGTCACAGAGGAGCGGCACACACTCAGGACGCCAGCAGACATTTACTTCCGCGTGGTTCTGGAGGCTGGGAATCCCACACTGCTGTGCAGGGGACGGGAACCTCTGTTGCTCCCCATCCAGGTCAGCAGTAACCGCGTCTAGTCTCCCCCGCGCTAGCGCCTTCTGTAGGTGCACAGCAGATCTCGGCACTGTTTTGGTTTTCAGTTTGCTAACAACAAGTGACCTTAAACAACTTGCCACTCGTGATTTGCCATCTGTCTGCCTCCTCTGAGGCATCTGCTTCCGCTGGGTGCCATTTCTGTGTCGGATGTGAAGTGTCCCCGAGCCTAGGTTAATTCATTTGTTTTGCGTGTGGACTCTGGTTGTCCTAGCACCATTTTTCGGGTAATAATGTTAATGTTCTCCCCCATTATGCCGACATACCTGAAGTAACATGCTTTCTCTGTTAGTCTCCTGGGGAATGCGGTTTCCCACTTCTTGTGGGTCAGTCCATCTTTACCTCTGTGTTGAGGCTACGCCAGGTGCCTACAGCTCAGGAATCTCTTACCATCCGGATTATTCTCTCTCACCGTCTGCTTTCCCCAGGGAGGTTCTTCCTCACCTATCATCATGTTTTTGCCCTCAAGCTGCATTTCCTCATACTCTAACTGGGCAGTGGGGCACACTGATTTATCTTTCCGGCTCATTCAGACCGGACGTCGGTCTGGATAGCTTAGTCAGGAGTGCGTCCTGGGCCGTGACTTTGGACCCCTTCACTCTTTCTGGGGCCATCAGAGTTGGGGTTTGGCGTGGCCTCGCAGGTATGACGTCGCCCTCGCACGGAGCTTTTCGGGCATTGCTGCTTTCCTGGGCACCTCCGCGAGAGGGGAGGTCAGCGGGACCGCGTCTGAGGGCCTTCCGCTCTCGCCCCACACCCCAGAAGCAGCGGGCACCACGCGGGAGCTGAGTGACCTGGGTCTGCCCCTCCCATAGCCTGGTGCCCTCCTGTCCCACAGGTCCCTCTCGTTCCTCGCTCCTGTGGTTTCCTCCGGAGGCTGACCTCTCCGCCCGGATGGCATGGCGTCGCCTTTCTTTGCTGACTTTGGCCTCATGTGGTACCTGGAGGAGCTCAAGAAGAAGGAATTCATGAAGTTCAAGGAGCTCCTCAGGCAGGAGACGCCACAGCTCGGGCTCGGGCAGATCCCCTGGGGTGAGGTGAAGAGAGCGTCTCGGGAAGAGCTCGCCAACCTCCTGCTCAGGCACTACGAGGGAGAGCAAGCCTGGAATGTGACCTTCAGGGTCTTTCAGAAGCTGGGCAGGAAGGATCTCTGCGCGAAGGCCGTGAGAGAGAGCAGCGGTACACGGAGCTGAGGGGCGGCGGGGGGCGGGCCCTGCCTGGGCGCGGTCAGGCCTCGACCACAGCGCGGTGGCTGAGGCTCGGGGCGCCGTCGGAGAGCTGCTCGGGGTCCCTGAAACACGGTGGTGGACGAGGGTTCCTAGTCCCAGTCACGCCCCCGTGCATTTAACATCTGAGGAGTGGACGTCTGTGACGGAGAAGCCACAACCGACAGGCCCCGCGGCCCCGCGTCCGCACCGCCGTTCGTGCTGGTCCGGGCGCTCCTGTCACTGTGCGCACGGGGGTCGCGAGGCCTGTTAGGGCCTCTTCTGCATCCACTGGATGCGCCTGGAGGTGGCTCTCGACCCGGCCCTTTCGCTCGCTCCTCCAGCCTCCTCTGGCCCCCAGGCGTACTCCCTGGGCCTTCACGCTGCATCCCACAGGCCTCCTCCTCTCCCGCATTTCTGGTCTGGGTCTCTGCTGAGCCTGGGCGTTTGTTCCCAGCAGTTTGCTTAGGCGCAGCTCCTGCCAGTGGTCTCTGGGCTGCACCGCCTCCCTGAGGGCGGCCGCACGCTGCAAAGGTGGGAGGCGGCTGGGGCTCCGACCAGACTGCTCCTGGGTCCCTGGGAAGATGTATTCTAAGGTGCAAGGTGAGGGCCGGGACGCAGACCCGCAAGTTTAACTCTGACCCGCTGTGGTCTCTCCTTCCTGTGCTTCCTGACCTAGGAAATGTGAAGATCTATCAGGCTCACATGAGGGAGAAATTCTGCAGCTTCTTGGCCAAGGAATCCATCCCCATGGTGGGTGAACACTTTAACCTGAATGTCACCCAGGAAAAGTGCAAATTTCTGGAACTCCTCTTCGAGCCCGGGAAGCAGACCCGCACTCTCTGCTTGCACGGAATCCAAGGAGTTGGGAAAACTACTTTCCTGGCGAAGATCATCGTGGCTTGGTCCAAGGGCTTCATCTACCAGGACCGATTCTCCTACATCTTCTACTTTTGCTGCAAGGAACTGAAGCGGCTGCCGGCCGTAAGCTTGATGGAACTGATCGCCAGAGCCTGGCCCACCGCCTCCGCCCCTGTGAGTGAGATCATGGCGCACCCCGAGAAGGTCCTGTTCATGGTGGACGACTTTGAAGAGCTGGGGTCCGACCTGAGGGAGCCCGAGAGTGAGTTGTGCGGGGACTGGGCCGAGGCGCATCCGCCTAAGCTGCTGTTGAGTAGTTTGCTGAGGAAGAAGATGGTCCCAGAGTGCTTCCTGCTTGTCACCCTCTCCCCCAAGGCCAGGCAGGGACTGGAGGACAGGCTGAAGGACCCTGACATTAGGGTGCTCACGGGCTTCAATGAGTGTGACATGAAGATCTTCATCAGCCAGATATTCCCAGACATGTACAGGGCCCTGGACGCCTTTGCCGTCATACTGGACAACCATCAGATCTTCTCGCTCTGCCAGCTGCCCGTGCTCTGCTGGATGGCCTGCGTGGCCCTGAAGTGGGAGATGGACCAAGGCAATGACGTGAAGCTCACCTGCCAGAGGAGAACGGCTCTGTACACCTCCTTCCTCTTGAACCTCTTCACACCCCAGGGAGCCGCCGGCCCGAGCTGGCAGGGCCAGGCCTGGCTGCAGAGCCTGTGCTCCCTGGCCGTGCAGGGCATGTGGACCGACACCCTGGTGTTCGGGGAGAGGGACCTCGTGAGGAACGGGATAGGCAGCTCCGACCTCCCTGCCCTGCTGGAACTCAGGGTCCTCCTGCTGTGCCAGGAGGCTGAGGCCTCCTACAGGTTCCTGCACTCCTCGGTCCAGGAGTTCTGCGCCGCCCTGTTCTACCTGCTCAAGAGCCCTGGCCACCACCCACACACAGCCGTGCAGGGCACGCAGGAGCTGCTGCTCACCTACCTCCAGAAATCTGGAGAGCACTGGGTCTTTGTGGGCTGCTTCCTGTTTGGCCTGTTGCATGAGAGGGAGCGGCAGAAGCTGGATGCATTTTTTGGCTTCCAGCTGTCTGGTGAGATGAAGTGGCAGCTGTACCGGTGCCTGCAGGACCTGGCAAAGATCACCGGGAAGCTCCGGAGGGAGACCACCTTCCTGGCCTTGTTTTACGCCTTGTTCGAGATGCAGGAGGAGGCCTTCACAGACCAGGTGATGGACTTGATGTCAGAACTTACCTTCTCCGTCTTCCACGAGACCGACCTGAAGGTTTCCGCCTACTGCTTAAAACGCTGCTCAAACTTGAAGAAACTTAGCCTTTCAGCCCACAGTGTATTTAAGAATGAAGAGAGAGGACAGAGCTCTGTGTGAGTCCACCCGATGATCTCCCTCTTCCTTCTACTCCTTCATCTTCTCCTTCTTTTTCATACTTGGGAATTAAACCCAAGGCCTTTGCTACATCCCCAGCCCCTTTTTTAAAATATATTTTTTACTTTTTAAATTTTGAAACAAGGTCTCTCGAAGTTGCCCAGGCTAGACTCGGGATTGTGACCCTCCTGCCTCAGTCTGCCAGGGCTCTGGGCTGACAGGCATGCACCATCCCGCCTGGCTTTGTGACTTCTCCCCTCTCCAGGGTCTGCCCCACACTCTGCTGTTGCCGGGGGGCGTGGTGAATACCTGACAATGCTTAAGCCTGACCCATCCTGTCAAGCCCTGCACTGACTCTTTTTCTCCAGTTATGTTATTTTGTTTTATAAGCTCTTATTGTAATTCAGCATATTATGGGTAAGTGTAGGGATTTGCTGGATCCGCCCAGGGCCCAGTCTAGATTGAGCCTGGAAGAGCCTGTGGCCTTGTCCATGAGACTCACCCTTCCTTGGACTCAGTGGCCTTCAGCCAGGCAGCAGGGACACATCCTGGTGACGTAGCCAGCCTGAGGCAGCTGTGGCTGGGATTTCTCTCCCTCCCGAGCCTGCCTTGGACTCCTTCTTGACCCATCCTCTGCAAGTTACCTTTCCAGACTCACTCTAAACATCCACCAGACTTATAACTGTTTCCTACTCCTAAACCGCACTGCCCGTGGGTTCTGTCGTGGTTGGGTCCTGGTGAGGACGGCACCAGGTGCCCGGGGTTGCGGAGCGGGAAGGGGCGAGGCGAGTTCCTCACCAGCGCTGGCCCAGCTCAGGCCTGACCTGTGCTGCAGGAAGCTTGGGTGCGGCCCTGGCCTCCACTGTGAGAGGAACAGCCGCAGGGGCTGTGCCGAGCTCCCGGAGCTCCCTCCCAGCGCAGATGCTGTGCCTAGCGTTCCCTTCCTCTCACACAGGTCCAGCACTGAGCTCCTCTCGTGGCACCAGGTGTGCTCCGTGCTCACGACCAACAGGGACCTCCAGGTGCTGCAGGTAAAGGACAGCACCCTCAACGAGCCGGCCCTCCTGACTCTGTGCCATCAGCTGAGGCAGCCCAACTGCCTCCTGGAGAATCTCTTGTAAGTTGGGGGTCAGAGCCGCCTCGCCTTGAGTGTCCTGGCGGAGTGGTTCCACCCCACTCACTGCAGGTCTGTGAAGACTCGAGACCCCAGCAGAACCCGCCCCGGCCCCGAGGTGTGGCTGTCCGGCGTGTGGCTGGGTGCTGAGGAGCACCCGGAGTTCTCACTTCCAGACCCAGTAGCTTCCTCTGGTTGTGACAACCAGAATTGAACCGAACCTTCCCCGTGTTGGGGGAAAGTCGCCCAGCTGCGAGCCCCTGCGCTGCACGCCTGGGCTGTGAAATTAGCACGTGATCACCGCAGGCTGGGGAGATGATTGAAGTCCAGCTATCCGGCCACGCTCCCAGGCCTTTGCAAGAAACTTACTCAAATTTCTGTTTTTGCAGCCTAAACAACATTACCTTTCATTGTGAGGATTGGGCTCTCTTTGAGGTCTTCACTCATAACCCAAATCTGAAGTACCTGAACCTCAGTAACACCCTGCTAGGCTGCCAGGAGATGCAGTCCCTATACAGCATGCTGAGCCACCCCGCGTGCAACTTGGAGAAGCTGCTGTGAGTCTCCTCCGTCCTGGTCTCCACTGTCCGCAGGCATACCCGACCCTGGGAAGTTGGGAACACTCGTGGAAGGTAGCTTCTCACTGGGCACAGCCGCCTCTGAGAACCGCATGCCCGCATCCAGCTTTTCCCAATACTGGCGGGCCACGCAAGCCAGAAACCCACCCCAGGGTATGGGCTCAGGAGAGTTGCACGATGTAGTTGGTTGATTTTCTAGCCAGCTGCTAAAATAATCACGGCAGGGTTCAGAATACCTGAAAAATGGAAATTTCCACCAATAGTATAAGTCAGGTAAGAAATGTGAAAATTCATTGTGAGGCAGTAATATGCGAATATTTTCATATTCCATGAGAATGAATGATCTAAACCAGAGGTAATAGAGCCGGGGATTTAGCTCAGTGGTTTTACCGCCTGCCTTGCAAGCACAAGGGCCCAAGTTCAATCCCCGGTACAAAAAAAAAAACCAAACAAACAACAACAACAAAAAACTAAACCATAGGTAAAAATTTGGACCAATCTCAGTTATGGTTGGTGGAATAAGTCTAACTCAAAAGTGCACCATATGGTTTTATCAATATAAAGTTAAAAAATGAGCAAAATGGCGGTGTGAGATTTGGGGGTGACCCCTCCTTGGTGAAGTTTCAGGGGAGAGGCTATCGCTGCTGAAAGTCACTCCTGGCCTGCATCCTTTAACACTGGGGTTAAAGTGGCTGTAACTCAGTGGCCAGAACTCACCATTTGTACGCTTTTGCATGTATGTTTGAGAATAGTTCTGACATTTTTCTGTTTTTTTTTAATTTTAAATTGAGTTTATTGGTACATTCTAGGTAGACAGTACAGTTACGTTCATCATTGGGATCTTGTACCTTTACACGCCAGGTCTCGGTTCTCATTTTTTCCCTTGTCCCCGCCCTCCCTTCACCCCCTCCTCCCCTCTCTGCCTTCAAACACTTTAATTCCATTTTTACATTTTCTTATATTTTTTTCCTTTTCCCTTGTTCCCCTTTCCCTATCCTTCTCACTGTCCCTACACCTTTGGTCCTTTTCTTCCTATTTCATGCTGGTAATTGTTCCGTTATAATTCCGACATTTTTAACTGAAGTAAGGATCCCCTCTAATACTTCCTTTACCTTCTCTGGTGCCCACACATTCAAACATTTCCCACAACTCTGCCCTCTTGGGATCCTGTCACCCAAGCTCACAAACCCTTGAATCCACGATGAATAACGGCTTTACAGAGACTTATTACACACATCACAAAACTTGTGTTGGTAAGTACCAAGTTTAGCAGTTTGTATTCCCAGTTGCAGAAAGTTTGCCTGGCCCAAGAAAACCCCGCGTCGAGCAGGCACTCTGGCCTGTCGGCCGTGTGCCCTGGAGCCACTGCCTCCGGTCCCTGGGGCCCAGCCTGCATGCCACGTGCACCTGAGCCGTGCAGTACATGGGCTTTGTGAAAGGCTTTCTTGCACTTAGCAAAGGCTCGAGTAGGCTGCACTGTGGATCAGTACTGCCTTCCCTGTGTGGCTAAGTAATATTCTCTTTAAAATTCGATTTTGTTAGAGTGTGTTTGCAATACCTGAAGTTTATATGCATCTTAGGGCGTGGGTGCGGGTGCAGAACACACCTTGATTCTTCTTATTCCCTTTCCCCTCCCGACCCGCCTCCCCTGCTCCACCGCTAGACCCCCTTCCGCATTTTCTTTGTTATCATTATTATTTTTATTTATTTATTTATTTTTTGGTACCAGGGATTGAACTCAGGTCCCTGCACTTACAAAGCAGGCACCGGAACCACTGAGCTAAACCCCGGCCCTGTTATCATTATTATTATTAGTTCATGTTCACTTCATATAGTGTTTGCACTCTTTGTGGGTGCTCGGCACATGTGTGTGATGCACTGTAAATCTTTTTGCTTCTTCTTACCCCTCCCCTTTCCATCAGCCCGTTCGCTTAGACCCCTTCCTCTTTGCAAAGGACCAGTCCCTGCTTCCCTCTGTCAGTCCTTTCCCGCATTATGTGCACCTTGCCTTATTCAGGTAAGAGATGCCATGTGACATTCACGCCTGTGAGTCTGAGTTATTTCCCTCAATTACATTTTCCAGGTGTGTCTATTTTCCTATCCTTCTCAGCCGAGTAATGGTCCACTATGTATAAACACCACATTTCCTTTACGCCTGCAGGACTTAGCTACTGGGATTGTGCTATGCCTATCTCACGTAGCCACTGTCCTTAGCTCTTTTGGGAAGCTCCCTAGAATGGAAATAGCTGGGTCAAATGGTGTTTTGTTTTGTTTTTTGTTTTTTGTAGTTCTTTGAGAGATCTCCTAAGCAATTTCCATAATGGTCATACTATTTTCCATTCCTACCAACAGGGTAGAAGGATTCTCTTTTTCACCACAGCCTCACCAACATTTGTTATTTGATCTCTTGAGGGTTGTTATTCTTTCTGGTGTAAGATGAGATCATAGTGTTGTTTTAATTTGCGTTTTCCTAACGGCTGGAAGTGTTTTTTCATATATTTATTGGCAATTTGTACTTATTCTTCTGAGAAGTCTCTAGTCATTTCACTTGCCCATTTTTTGACTGCATCTTTTATTTAGGGGAGTCTTTTTTTTTAGTTCTTTGTATATTCTAGATATTAGTCCTCTGAAGAACAGCTGGCAACATTTTTGCCCATTCTGTAGGCTGCCTCTTCACTCTGTTGATTGTTTTCTTTGCTGAGCAGAAGCTTTCAATTTGGTGTGATCCCATTTGTGGATTCTTGCTGTGATTTTTTTTTTGTGTTGGGGTGTACAATTGGAGGTCTCTTCAGAAGTCTTTGCCTGTACATAGGACTTCCAGAGTGTTACATAGTTTCTTTTCCAGTAGATGCATTGTTTCCATTTTAATGTTTAATGTTTAATTTTTTTGTTTTGTTTTGTTTTTGGTATTGGGGCTTGAATTTGGGACCTGCTGCTTGCGAGGAAGGTGGCAGAACCACTGAGCTAAATCCCCAGCCTGCTGTTGATATTTTGGTTGGCGTTGTGTTCAGTCGGCAGATCAGTTTTGGACAATATTGGGTCTGCCTACACACCAACGGGACATCTTTCTATTTTCTCATGTCTTCTTTAATCTCCTTTTCCAGAGTGCTGTACCTTTCACTGTAGAGGTCTTTCACTTCTTTAGGTATTTAATTCCTAGGTATTTTAATTTTTTTGGTGTATCATGAATTGTATTGTTTTCCTAATCTCTTTATCAGTGAGCTTTTATTGTTGTACACAAATGCTATTTTTATGTGTTGATTTTGTACCATTCTACTTTGCTGAAATTGGTTATTCTAAGAGGCATTGGATCTATGTAGTAGAGTATCATGTTATCTACAAACAATGATAATTTGAATTCTTCCTTTCCTGTGCACATCCCTTTTATTTCTTTCTCTTTCCTGATTTCTCTGGGTAATATTTCAAGTGTTATGTTGGACAGAAGTGGTGAGAATAGGCACCCTTGTGTTGTTCCTGATTTTAGAGGAAAAGCTCTCAGTTTTTCCCCATTTAATATGATGCTGGCCATTGGTTTGTCACAAATGACTTTTATCACATTTAAGTAATGTCCTTCTACACCTATTTTCTTAAGAGTTTTTATCATGAAGAGATGTTGAGATTTGTCAAAAGCCTTTTCTGTATCTGTTGATATGATTGTGTGGCTTTTGTCCTATCTTCTGTTTATGTGGTATATTACTTTTTTTTTGGTACTGGGAATCAAATTCGGGCCCTTGTACTTACGAGGCAGGAGGCAGAACCACTGAGCCAAATCCTCAGCCCCTACATTACATTTATTGATTTGTGTACTCTGAACCATCCTTGCAACTCTGGTTAGAACCTACTTAATCATGAAATATGAACTTTTTGATATTTGCTGCACTTTACTTGCCAGTATCTTCCTGAGAATTTTTGCATCTGTGTTCATGAAGCAGACTGGCCAGTAGTTTTCTTTGTTCATTGGGTCTTTGTCTGGTTTGGGGATTGGAGCAATGCTGGCTTCCAGAAATGAGTTTGGAAGCACTCCTCCTCTTTCAGTTTCATGGAAGAGTTTGAGATGGACTGGGGGTATAAAGGCTTAATGGTTTTGTAGAATTTGTCAGGGAATCCCTCAGGTCCTGGGCCTTTTTTTAGTTGGTAGTTTTATATTATTATTATTATTATTATTGTTGCCTCAACTTTATTGCTTGTTATCGGATTGCTCAAAAAGTTTTTATGTCATCTTGGTTTAATTTTGGTAATTCATGTAAGTCTAAGAATCTGCCCATTACTTCAATATTTTCATTTGTTCTTTGAATGAACCAGCTCTTTGATTTACTTCCTTGTATTGTTTTTCTTTTTAGTCTTGATTTCATCGGTTTTTAGTTTGTCCTTGGATTGATGTTGTTTCTTGAGTGTCTCCAGGTCCCTCACTCGTGTATACAGTTGGGCTCACTCTGGCTTTCGAGTGCAAGCACTGGCTGCAGTGAGCACCCGTTAGGACTGCTTTCGCTGCACCTGACGGCTTGTGGTGTGTTGTGTTGGAATTGTCGTTTGAGTCCAGAAATGGTTTAATTTTTTCCTTGATAGCTTTGGTGTCTATGTCTTTATCCTGTCATCTCTGGGCTTGCTTTGTGTGTGAGAGAGGGGCAGCCAAAAGTAAGCAGAGTGATGGAGGGAATAAAAACTCATGATGAGTGTCAGGACGGGGCGACTCGGAAAGTCAGTAAGTGATGAGCCTGGCTGGACGCCACTCGGGGCTTCTCTCCGGGAGGTTCTCTGGACGATGAGGACCTCTGACCACAGGCCAGGTGAGCATCCCTGCGGGTGAGCATGTGCCGAAGCCTGAGTAGACACAGGAGATAGCAGGGGATTAGTCGGGAACAGCACACTGGGACACCTTGATGTGGACCGAAACAGAAGCACCCGGTGTAGCTGGGACACAGGGACCTGGGCACAGGTGGCGGCCTCAGGGGGCACGTTGTGCACCTGGGTTTCTCTGCCTGTGAGTGAGTGTGGACACATCAGAGTCTGGATGCTGCTCAGGTTGTCCCTCACCCTGCGTATAATGGGTTGAGAGGGATGAAGAATGGGGCTCTGGAGGGGAGCAGAGTCTGTTTCTTGCAGAGGACCGCATCGGGAGCGGAAGCCGAGGCAACGTAACCTTTCTCCCCGCTGCAGGCTGATGAACTGTAAACTGTCGGCTGATGACTGCAAGGTCCTCGCCTCCATCCTGATAGAGAGTAGGAAGCTGAGGCACCTGAACCTCTCCTGCAACTACCTGAATAAGGGGGCACGCGCCCTGTGCAAGGCCCTGTGCCACCCCGCCTGCACCCTGGAGCTCCTGGTGTAAGTGCCCTGGAGGGGATGCGCCTTCCTGCATGGCGTGCAGGTTAGGGTGAGATCACCGCGCCACCTCCGCGGATTCCACCCACCGAGGTCAAGAACATTCCGGGGGGAAAGTGCGCCTGTACTGAGCGCCTACAGGTTCCTTTCGTCTTTATTCGCTAAACACGGTGTGTAGTAATTATTCACGTAGAATTCACGGTGTGGTGTGTACTGCCAGCCATCTGTACATCTACAGTGCGCAGGGATGGGTGGTTCTGCGCAAACCCCCGCACCACTGCCTGTCACACACTGAGCCTCCGTGGGCTTTGGTACCCACGGGGGTCCTGGCCCTGACCTCCACAGACGCGGAGGGAGGACCTCTGAGTAAGTTTCCTCAGATGTCAGACCACACGTGTTGATGACTCTCACCAGCCTGTAGCACGGGGTGTGGGCTCTCCGGTGGTGCTCGGGACAGGACAGTCACAGAGCGAGACGTCCCCGCCTCGTGACCCCATGGAACACTGAGGGCGCCCTTGGGATCGGAGGGTGGACAAGTAGGCAAGCGTGAGAGAGTGGGGTGACGGAGCACAGCGCAGGAAAGCGCGAGCTGTGCACGTCCCATCTCCCACGTGTAATCGATACAGCGTCCGAAATACGCGTGTGACATGAGGGGTGTTAGAGGGGTTATGTAAGTCAGCCGAGAAATAACGGCCTCTGGTGCAGTAAACATCTTGGATATCAATGTGCAGCTACAGCTGGACAACGGGAAGTTAAGTGGTAAACGTCGGCCCCTAGGAGGTTACCAGGGTAAGCTAAACGCTTTAAACGAATTGCACCCCTCGTATCTCAGCATTTCTTTGATTCCCAGTTATGGAGAAGTACATTTCTTTGCAAATTAACTCTTAATTCTCAGTGTTTTCCAGCAGCTGATAAAAAAGACATTATTTTAAAGCAGCAAAATATTTAACACATAAAAAATGTTATAGAGCAGGCTTTAACTACAGTCGGTGATGACAACTTAAAATTACACAGCCTATGATCGCTTTCAAGAGCCGCGGAATTAGAGCCACTGAGGGTTTTACACGGAGGTCACCAGCCCACGAGGGACGACCTCAGAGAGCTAAGTGTGGGGTGGGCAAGCAGCACAAGATGTAGAATCAGAAGTGGACGTTCCCTCCGGAGTGTGCGCTGTGCCGCCTCACACCGCCCTGTTTCATAGGAATTACTTGGTCAGTTTTCTTTTCTTTCCTTTTTCCTCATTGAGTCTATTGGTACACTTTAGGTACACAGTACAGTTACCTTCATCACTGGGATCCTGTACCTTTACGCGGCAGGTCTTGGTTCTCGTTTTTTCCCCTTGCCCCTGCCCTCCCAGTTTTATTTTCTGATCCATCTTTCATGTAAGAAAACACAAAGGAAGGTGTTTTCAGGTGAGCCGCCAGTGCTGGGTCTCACTCAGGTCCTCTACGGCAGGCCACAGAAACACTGCCTCTCACACTACAAACGCTGTTTCCTCTGATGGTTCGGTGCAGGCCCCATGACGCCTCCTTTCTCCCGTCTTTGTCCCCACAGGTTGGCCCTCTGCAAACTCAGGGCGTGGTGCTGGGACTACCTGGCCGACGTCCTCCTGCTCAGCAAGAGCCTGGTGCACCTGGACCTCAGCATAAACAGCCTGAGGGACGAGGGACTGCAGGTTCTCTGCGAAGCCCTGAGACACCCAGTCTGCAGGCTGCAGACTCTGTGGTGGGTCCCCGGGGCGCGCTGGTGACCAAGCCTTCCCACCGGGGCCTCCGGGAACAAACGCTTGGCCCAATTCCCCAGGTCTTGTGATGGTGGTTAGCTTCTTCCCCCATCTTTAGGATCCCCTTAAATTTGTTCCACAACACTGGATTTCTTTAGTTTATATTTATCTTGAAAGGTCTTATTTGTCCTTGATTTTTGAGCGATGGCCGTGCATGATATAGCAAACTGAGTAGAAATTATTTTCTTTCAGGGACTCGTAACTTTCTGTTGAGGACTCTGCTGTTTTTCAGATGGGATGGCCCTTGAAAGTTCTCGGACATTTTTCTCTGACAGCTTTCAACCTTCTTTCTTTATTCTGAATTTTGGGCAGTTTTTGTTGTTGTCGTTGTTTTGTGCCAGAGATTGAACTCGGGACCTTACGCTTGCAAGGCAGGCAGTGGAACCACTGAGCTAAATCCTTGGCCAGGCAGTTTGATCTGATGTTTCTTGGAGAAGTTCCTTTCTGGTCAAGTCTATGTGGGGTTCTAAATGCCTGGGTATCATCACACCCCCCCAGATTTGGGAGATTTTCTGCTCTATTTCAGCGAGTAGGTTTTCTGTGCCGTCAGCCTACGTTTCCTCGCCCTTCTTGAGGCCAGTGAGTTATCCAGAAGCTTGCCAATAATCTGTGTGCTGCTTCTTACTTTTTTTCCTCTGTTATTGTCCAGATGCTCTTGTATGTTCACCTTGTCTCAAAGTCTGATCTCTCTCTCTTCCGATTTGTCTTGCTGTGTACGTCTGCTGCGACTTTCAGTTGAGTTTTTCTTTAACTAATTGGGGTTTTCAGCTCCAGGATTTCTACTTGGTTCTTTTTCTGTCTCTTTACTGACATGGTCTTTCCTAGCCTGCATTGTCTTCCTTCCTTAATTCATCCAGCTGCTTAGTCACATCTTCTCTGATTCCACCAATCATTCTATCATTTTGTTTTGTTTTTTCTTTTCTTTTCTTTCTTTCCTTTTTTTTTGGTTTTCTGAGACAGGGTCTCACCCACTATGTAGTCCAGTCTGGTCTCGAACTCACAGTGATCCTCCTGCCTCAGCCTCCTGAGTGCGTGCGCCACCACGCCCGGCTCCATTCTATCAGTTTTTAAATCCTTTGTCTGGAATTTCATCCATTTCTGTAACCTGTGGTGTTTTTAGAGAGTTGTGAACATTTTAGAGAGTTCGGAACATCTCATAGCCTTGCTTTGTCACCTTTCCCGTGTTTTGTCCTGAGGTTGGCAGACCAGCAGACAAGGGTGTCTCCCCGCGGGTGTGGGGGTCACTTGACTCAGAGGCTTCTCCTGGGCTGAGGTGTCCCGTGGGAGCAGAGCCTGCTCAGTCTGTTCTGTGATGAAGTTCAGTCCGCAGCACTGCCTTGGGAGGGGATAACAACTGCCAACACCACAGTGCCCCAAAAGCAGCCACGTGGGTCTTGGAGCATAACTGAGAACGGGTATTAAAAGACCTCTACTGTTTCAAGAACCCAGGAAAGACAAGGAGAGTAATAATATACAATAGGTAAAAAAAGAATGATATTTTGATTTAGTATTAATATAGAAATTATTATTAATTTATATTAATACTAGCTCATATCTTTTTATTTTAGTGTTAATACTAATTTTATACATTAATATTAGTTTTATATGAAAAAAGGGAGAAGGGCAAAGAGACAGAAAAAAGTCTAAGAAAAGTAGAGCATAGAAAGGATACATGGAAGAGAGAAAAGATAAGGAGGTGACTGGTCCAATTACTGAGCTGACAGTAAAACAAAAGCTGATAATCCTGCGCAACAACGGCCGAGGTAAAGCACCAAACAATAGTCCAGAATAGTATGGAGCAAAGGTAGAAGTGTGCACACACACACACACACACACTCACACACACGCACAACCATACCAAATTAAACGCCAGCCAACAAAAAGACAAAAACTGCAGCGTGACCCCGCTGTGGGTCTGTGTGTAGTGAGGACAGTTACTGGCCCTGCCCGAGAGAGGGGCACCCTCCCCAGCAGCAGTGCCGCGGTCACAGCAGTGCTGAGGCACAGACCAGGGCCTCTCGGTGGCACTGGGTCTCCCTGGTCTGCATCCCATTTGCTTGTGGGAATGGGCACAGCCGCTCTCCATGGTGGGCCTGCTCCAGGGTCCCCATCCCTGCTCTCGGAGCCACGGCCGCAGGTGTCCATGTGTAGTGTGGGGTCCCATGTCATCGAGCAGGGCGCAGGTGCTGCACACACAGGCCTGTGCTGTGCTTCACGCTGCACACCCTGTGGAGCCTGCTGCAGCCAGGAGTCTCTGCCACCCTCTAGGTGCTGGCGGGGCGCTGGGCCTGCTCCCCAAGGTCCACAGCCGGCACCGCCCAGGCCTCCCCTCTGCAGCCTGGTGCTCCAGGCTCCTCCCTGGGCCATGGCATCCTGGGGCGCAACGGCTCCTCCAGGTGACTGTGCAGTCCCCGGTCCAGAGTCCTGGAAGAGCCACGCGCTGGCCCTGAGGGCGACGGGGACATGGGGTGTGCTCTGACAGTGCCCCGCCCTGTCCCTGCAGTCTGATGAAATGCTCCATCACGGTGGGGGGCTGCAGAGACCTGGCCTCCGTCCTCACCAGCAGCCAGAGCCTGCGGACCCTGTTCATCACGGAGAACAGCATAGAGGATGCAGGGATGAAGATGCTGTGCTGGGCTCTGGCACGGCCCAGCTGCCTCTTGGAGACCCTGGGGTGGGTGTTGCGGCCGCACGTGCATTTGTGGGAGGAAGTGGCCCATCGGGTCAGCACCGGGCTTGGTGTGGTTCGCAGTCAGCAGGCCAGGCAGGGCTGCGCTGCTCAGCTGCCCTGTGTGAGCTGAGAGAGGGTTTCCCTGGGCAGCCAGGGCAGGGCTGCCTGCCTCCCAGAGCTGAGGTTGGCAGCTGTCAGTGGGGCTTGCCGGGGGACTGGACGGCCAGCTGTCTAACCGGGATCCTTGGCTGTGTGTGTGGTGTTGGAGGCTAAGCCCAGCGGCTTCTCACCGAGCTGCATGTCCAGCCCTTTTACGTTTTTTATTTTGAGACAAGGTCTTGTGAAGTTGCTATGTCGCCCATGCTGGGCTCACATTCGTGAGGCTCCTGCCTCGGCTTCCTTCAGGGCTGGGGTCTCAGGCAGGCATAGCACGCCTGGCTGGGCCTGGGCTTCTGGGAGACCTGGGGAGGTCTGGTGTCCGTGGGTGGCTTCCTGCTGAGGCTGTGACCACGGGGCGGCTGTTCCCGGGCTCCCTCGGGGCCCGTGGCTGCCTGCGGCTTCCGCAGCTCCACGCCCTTCCCTCTCTCGTGTCCTGTGCTGGGTCTTCTCTGTTAGAGGGACCGGTTACACGGCAGGAGCACCCACCTTTGCCCTGCACGCCCCTCTGAAGACTCCAGCTCCACGCTCAGCCCTGGCCTTGGGTAGGGCGTCAGCAGGGGAGCTGTAGGGGACTCCGCTCAGCCCTGGCCGCTACTCAGGAGCCCGAGGGGCCGCGGGTGCATGCTCAGCTCACATGGCCTCACATCTGGGAGCTGCAGCGTGCAGGGCGAGGGACCAGGCCAGCCGTGCCCAGGGCAGGGCCGTGGGCTTAGAGCAGCAAGCCAAGCCCCCGTACTGCAGGCAAGGACCCAGACTAGAACGCACAGCTGCGGCCACATCTAGGTCGGAGGGGGACACTGATGGCAGCTGCGCTGGCTGTCACCGTCCCAGGGCTGCCTCTCACGCTGTCTTCTCTTGCAGGGTGAAGGACTGTGGTTTGACCAGCGCCTGCTGCGAGGACCTGGCCACCGTGCTCACCAGCAGCAAGACCCTGTCCATGCTGAACCTGATTGGGAATCCCCTGGGCCACAGCGGGGTGGCGCTGCTGTGCCAGGGCCTGAGGCACCCCGAGTGCGCCCTCCAGGTGCTGGGGTGAGTGGGTGTGGCTCCCCTTTGCTGGGGAGGGGGCTGGAGGCACCGCTGGACCTACTGCGCACAGCTACTGCCACGTTGTGACTTTTACCTCCGTGGCCCGGGAGTGCAGCGCGCACACGGTCCGTGGGGAGCGGGCTCCTGCACACGGCGAGACTTCGCTCTTGTTCTGTCTCCTTCCACGCTCTTCCCCTTCTTAGTCCGGGCTGTTGCAGGACTGGGGGAACCAAGCCCGCGTCCAGCCAGTACTGGGGAGTGGTGGGTGCCAGTGATCCGTCTGCACTTGGCACGATCGCAGTGCACATCACACTGTGTGGCTGCGTCTATAAACGATTTGTACGGAGCGCACGGCCCCGGGCCCCCCAGACCGCACCGTGTCGCGTGGACGAGCATCCGGATTTTCACTGCAGTGCAGCGCTGCGGTGTCACTCGATCTCTTCCTCACTTGTCTGTCACGCGGGTGTGTGCGAGGCTGGAGGCCAGGGCTCGCTTTGTGTTTTTGCCTCAGACTCTGCGCTGCAGCGAGGCCCCCGCCCTGCAGCGCTTTCCCTCCCGCCCTCTGGGAGGACGCAGGTGCCACCCTGTCATTCGCCGCACGTCTCCCTCTGCAAACACCCGCGCCCGGCTGTTTCTGCCCCGACTGACTTCTGCTGAAGCCTGGGACGAGGCGTGCAGGGCAGGGCCCTGGACCGTCTGCGCTCCGGGCGGGGGCCCGCCGCCCTTAATCTTTACAGAATCATCTGATCTGCAGTTTGGCAAGAGAATATAAGTCAAATGAAGTTACATAGAGCAGAGAATGGCTTCTTCTCTATTGAACGACAAGGGTTAAGACAAAATCTTTGTTTCACTTGGTGAGTTCTGCAGCATGTGGACCAAGTATTAGAAGGACGTCTCTTACCTTGGTGTGCAGGTTAACTAACCAGTGTGTGTCTGTCCTAAGGATTCCCCGCCCGGCCGGGCCAGCGACACGCTGCAGTGGACGCCCGGTGCTCTGGTGACTGTGTGTCCTCTCTGGCGGGACAGCGAGGTATCCTGTAAGGCCGCTGGGCAGTGAGGAGCCAGGGCCCCAGGGAACAGAGACCATCACTGTCTTTTCTGGTTAAAAATGGAACTGGCACCTGCCTTTCTCCCCCCACCCCACCATTCCCTGCCCCAAACCCTGCCTTCTCTGTGGAACCAGCTCTGCCGGTCGCTGGCTTTGCACACTCACCGCCCAGTGCCTCACCAGAGCCAGCTCTCTCGGGGTCGGGGACCTTTGTGAGCCTCTCTTCCTCACCCTGTGAGCAATGTCTGGGTGAAGTCACCACGCTTGCTGGAGAACACATCACAGACACGCACACAGCAGCACGTCAGGGCGTTGGTGGTGGCCGTCGTCGTCGTCTGGGGTGGGTGAGGCATCGAGCGTTTGTCAAGGCCACTGTGGGTCATGGGCACACCTGGCCCCTTGGCGTGACACCAGCCTCCCTGGGCTTGTCCGGGAGCAGATGATGGAGAAACAGGGCACACAGAAGGGCAAAGCAAAGCGTTCATTACACAGAGCCTTTTCTCTGTTTTGCCAGACTGAATAAAGCGGAATTTGGTGAGGAAACCCGGGCACTGCTGGAGGCTGAGGAAGAGAGAAATCCAGACCTGATCATCAAGGAAAGTTGGTGACACAGAAATGGAAGGCACAGCAGGGTGGGGGTGGGCTGTGAGCCTGAGGGGACACCACCTGTGGGGACCCCTGGAGAACACTCTGAGGACACCTGGAGGACACCTGCAGAGATACCTCTAAGGACACCTGTGGGCACACCTGCAGGGGCGGGGCTGCCTGGCACCCCATCTGTGCCCAGGACACTGACAGTGGCCCTGCCTGCCTGGGGGAGGTGAGCTTCACTGCACCCAAGGCTTTTAATTTGCTCTGTGGTCTTCAGACAAGCTGCCGCAAGAGCTCTGTGATGAAACGTGTATTTTGTCTACAATTGTCTTTTAAATCCCCAATAAAGTCATATTTCTTAGAACCCTGGGAGCTGGTGAGCAGCTGGCACGGAAGTGTCGGTGGAAGGGACTGTGATCACCTGGAAAGACGCGAGGCTCCATCCCCTTCCCTCTGCAGCCCCGCAGGGGTGAACAGGTGCTTTTATGTTGGCCTCCGAGCCCAACTCCTCCCTCTCCCTAACCCTCCCCAACCTGGGAGGGGAGCCGTGGTGAGGCTGCCTGTGGGCTGGCATCACCTCCTGAGCTCCCATCCTGCCAGACCAGCAGGGCCTTGGACTCCCGCAGGAGCAGGAGCCTGCGGTGACCTTGGGGGACCCAGACTGTAAGAGTCTAAGGTAGTAATAATAGAAATGTGCCAGGCCTGGTGGCACACACCTGCAGTCCTTGTGCTCAGGAGGCTGAGGCAGGAGGATCGATGTAGGTTTGAGGCCAGCCAGGCTACGAGCGAGACCTTGTCTCAATCCCAAACCCCCCCAAAAGAGAAAAGGAAGAGCACGATGCATGTAATGCACTGGGCTCACCCACAGCCACCCCTCCACTGCACAAAAATTGTCTTACACAAAGCCCACCCCTGGGGACAAAATGTTGGGGCCCCAGCAGCAGCCCCGCCGCCGGGAGGCAGCTGAACAGCCTTGCACACATGCACGCACACGTGTCCTCCACGACGGCAGCAGTGTGAGCACCTCACTGCCTCCTGGACACACGAGAGGGGGCCAAACAAGGCCCATGTGCTGTGTGCATGCAAACACGTGGTTCCCGGCACACCAGCGTGACAGCGCGTGTCAGGCTAAAGCGCTATGCGCCTCTGTCCGCGTGAACGGACATTGCCTTCCAACTGGATGTGTGGAAGGGCGGCGGGGTGTGTCTGTGTTTCTTTTTCATTATCTATTTCTCTACGGGTAAGCAGGTGGGTTGCTAGTTCTCTCTGGATTAAACCAAAGCCTTCACATTGAGCTTCATCCTTTGCCTTTTCCAAATTATTTCTTTTAATTTTGAGACAGGGTCTCACTAAGTCACCCAGGTTTGAATTGTGATCCTCCTGCCTCAGCCTCCCAGAGTGCTGGGATGACAGGCGTGCCCACCGCTCGGGGCTGGTTAGGGGTTACGCCTATCACAGTGCACACCTGGCAACTGTCCTGCTGTACCTGGATCTCATAAAATGTGGTCTGTGGTGTGAGCGGCACACAGAAGACAGTGGGCAGCTGACAGAAGTGTGGACGGCATGCAGGGCACAGGTGCAGCTGCAGGGGACAGGGTGGAGCCCTGGCGGTGATGGCCCTGCTGTGCTGTGACCACTCCGAGGAGTTGGGGGAGAGAAGATCATGGGAAAAAGCAAATCAGACACTGGGGAAGTCACTGACACTCCCCAGAGGTGGGAAGGGTGAGCCCAGAGGAACCAGAGACCATGGCCTCCAGTTTGCACCCACAGACACTGCACCCCGGGACAGCAACAGCTCCATCTCTTCACTCCCCAGAGTAGAGGTTGGCTGGCGGGAAAGAGGGAGAAGAGTGAAATATGAGACACAGAAAAACCCAAGCTGGCTGGGAGAGCACATGCCTGGGATCCCAGCATTCCAAGAGGCTGAGGCAGGACAATGCCAAGTTAGAGCCCAGCCTGGGCAATTTAGCAACTTAGCAGAGAGATCCTGTCTCAAAATAAAAAATAAAAAATGGAATTTAGCCAGGTGTGGTGGTGCACACCTGTAATCCCAGCACTCGGGAAGCTGAGGCAGGAGGATCCCTGCGAATGCAAGACCAGCCTGGGCTGCATAGTAAGTTCCAGGTCAGTCTCAACTACATAGTGAGACTCTATCTCAAAAACAAACAAACAAAATGGATTTTAGCTCAGTGCCATGGCCTGGGTTCAATTCCCAGCAAATAATAATAAGATGATAATAATAATAACAACAACAATGATATAAAAACAGCAAGTCCTGAGAGAGCAGATGGACAGGGGCTGGCCAGCGGGTCTCTCACTCCAGGCCTTGTGGGCACGTTGTGTGTTTAATTCCCACCAGATCCCTGCCAGTGACGCCATCAAAACCCGACCCCTGCGCCCCACTTCCTGAAAAAGCCACCCTGATTCTCAGCTGCGCTGGGTTCGCCGCGCCCCACACAGGAGGAGCGGATGTGGGCGCAGCTCTGGGCAGCACTGTGCAGCTCTCAGGGGTCTTTTCCGTTGTTTGTTGCCATTTTTCTTACTATTTGAAGTCTACAAGGTTGAATGCTTATCTTTTACAAATACTGCTAACTCTGCATGCAGCTCCAGCATGGGAATTTCTCCCTGTGCTCCGGGGGTTTCTTTCCTTCCTTCCTTCCTTCCTTCCTTCCTTCCTTCCTTCCGTCCTGCACTCCTTCCTCTTCGCTCTT